CACACAAGTTCCTCTCTCTGCAATCCCCTCATCCCCAATCTGTCCCCCGGGAAAACCCGATATTCATCACTCCAAATCCACCTCAGACCGCATCTCCCTCAGGAAGCACTGGCAACCTCTCCAAGAGGCAAAGGTTCTGGGATTCTGCCCTATTAATATCTGAATACACAGCCCTCCCGAGCACACAGACAGACAAACAGAAAGAGACACACACACACACACACACACTCACTCATACACTCTTGAGAAAATGTGTATGGAACTGAAATTTCTTTTAAATCTGAAGACAGCATAGTTGTCTTCTACTTTTATATATTATAGTACAATAACATATTCCTCCTTTAAAAAAACGTAAAATTTAAATGGAATCAATTTGCCATTTTGAAAGACAATTTTTTTAAAAATGAACAATTCTCTACAGTTTTATCTGTAGAAAGGTCAGTATTCTAAACAGCTAGTAAAATGATCCATGCCCAATTACAAGTAAAACACCAACAAAATCAAAATACAAGTTAAAAAAAGTTTACATCAAAATATTCTGGACCTATCAATTAATTCTCTTCTCAGAATAAAAGGAGGAAGTCAGCCTTTTTCAGTTGTCCCAAACAAAACAGCTGAGCTCTATTGGACTTTTATCCTCGGTTCATACTTCTCTCATCAGAAGTCCAGACATTCCAGAGCCCTAGAGGCAGGGAGTAGTGTATTTCTGATACACACATCTGTGTCCAAGGTTCATCACACGTTCCTGAGGCTACAAATATAAAATGCTGGTAACTGATGAAAAATTAGGAAAGTGAGCATTATGGCAAGGAGACTTTGCTTCAAACAAGGATAAATGAGAGAGACAAAACAAAGACGTCCTGAAGAGCCTGAAATTACACCTCAGGCTTTGCTCTGGTTGTAGAATGTCCTTTGGCACTAACATCCATGCGAATATTTTATCACCTGCTCAGCCTGCCCAAGGCCCAGAGAGACCAATAAACAGGAAAACACAAAGGGAGTCTTTTTATCTTCTCCATCCTGAAATCAAATATAGCCTCAAGTCTCCCTAGAAGAATCTAGTAAAACAGACTAGCAAGAGGACAGCACAAGTCCAAGCAATATTTTTGGGAGACATGCAAAAACCCTAAGGGCTTTTGTTTCTATGTTAATATCCAGTGTGGTGGGTAAGTATATTTTCTGATATATAAATATGCTTTTGGGTCAGATAACTAGCAGAGGTACAACACGGCCTTTAGAATCAGGAATCCCAGCTCTGCCACTAACTGACTGGGTGCTGACAGACAAGCAGTTAAGCTCACTGAGCCTCAGTTTCTGCACCCTCTCAGTGGAGGGTAGGAACACTGCCTGCATCAGAGGTTGTGGGAAGATGTGATGGAACCAGGA